CCGCAAGATTGTTCAAGATACAAACTGTATTCTTGTCTTGTCAGAACTGGAGATGTAGAGTACGCGTAGCTTGTAGGGCTAGTTCGCTCTCGAGTACAGAACTATTGATCATCCCTCCCTCTGATGTATTTTCGGTTGGGAAATTGGGACAAATGTGTCCTGTATAAGGTTTGCTGTAATCTTTATATGGACATCAGGCATTCAGGCGCCACGTCTCTATCTAGTGGCTGCATTCACTTGAATTTGAAATAATTTGTAATACTACCTCCGAAACTTTGCATTCAGGCGCCACATCTCTATCTAGCGGCTGCATTCACTTGAATTTGAAATAGTTTGTAATACTCCCTCCGAAACTTTGAATGGAGGAGTTGGTAGCCGGTCTTTTTTCATCCGGTTTTATTTCGTCCCACCTCTCACCACCTCTCCCGCTGGTTTTTCTCCCTCCCATTAAAAAATCAAATCGCATTAAGGGGGATCTTGTTTTGTGCGTGCTTTGGTAGCTACTGATTCAATTCAATTACATAAATAACAGGTAATTAAAAATCCAGAAATTGCATCATATATGTGAGATCACCGTCCTAAAAGATAGACATAAGATTTTTCTTGATAACCTTCCAAAACAAAATTAGATATTCCCGCATAACAAATCACTATTCCGGGGTTATGCCATTTATTATTATCTCTAATATTAATTGACAATCACAAGTTTCCTAATAGAATCTCTACTTCTAGTAGAGTAGTTGGTAGCCTGGTATGGTGTTTTTCATCCAGTTTTATTTCGTCCCACCTCTCACCACCCCTTCCACTGGTTTTTCTCCCTTGTAGGATCGACAATAGGTCTAGAGGTGGGATGGTTAGACTACTTAACCAAATAAAAATTTAGCATTTTTCCAATTTTAAGTCTTGACAGATTTTAGCAACTTAGCACAAGTCAAGCAATCAACCTACACATGCTATTCTAAGAGTGTAGCAGCGAAAAGTAAAACATTGCATATGAAGGTAAATGGAAGGGTTTGGAGAAGGCAAACGCAATGTAGACACGGAGATTTTTGGCGTGGTTCTGATAGGTGGTGCTATCGTACATCCACGTTGATGGAGACTTCAACCCACAAAGGGTAACGGTTGCGCGAGTCCACGGAGGGCTCCACCCATGAAGGATCCACGAAGAAGCAACCTTGTCTATCCCATCATGGCCATCGTCCATGAAGGACTTACTCTTGAACAGTTTGATGGTAACTTGGAGTTTGTGGCTAACACCAATGCACAAAGCAATAATCAGCGTCGTAAGGGAAGGCCGCCTCCTCGAACCGGTGGATCAGGTCCTACTCTTGAACAGTTGCTGAATGAGCCCCGTCCAAAGCATGGCTCGCAGGAGAAACCAGCTACTCATCTTTGGAAAGATTGTTCAATTATGAGGGCTTTCAAAAATTCTAACTCGTTTCATAGCAACCAGGGGCCGGTCGGCGGCTCAGGTTCCGGTGGCGGCAGTTCTCTCATGGCCTGGGGTATGGAGGTGGCGGTTCTAATTCCGGCTTCCAGGGCCACCAAAGTAGTCAAGGCAGTTATAATCAAGGTAATCAAGGCGGTTATAATCAAGGTAATCAGGGTGGTTACAATCAACAATCCGGCCAGGGGGGTCAGCAGCAGCAGCAGTCTGGATATCAAAGTCATCCAAAGCAGTTGAATAGTGGGTAGTATCATGTTTTCACCACAAGTTTGTGCAAGTGGGACCAGAAGGTTCACAAGAGGGCTATGAACGCCGTTGAGCCGGCAGTTCCCCAATACTTGCAATGGTCTGAGCAACCCATTATGTGGAGTCGAGAGGATCACCCGCCCCGGGTTGATAACCTGGGTCACTTGGCTTTGGTGGTGGCGCCTCAAGTTGGTGGATATAAATTCACCAAGGTACTCATGGATGGAGGTAGTAGCATTAATATCCTTTATTATGATACTTTCCGTCGCATGGGGTTAACTGATGAAAATCTTAAAACATCCAATACTGTCTTCCATGGAGTGGTGCCTGGTAAGTCGGCGTACCCAGTTGGCAAGATTGAATTGGAAGTGGCCTTTAGAGATGAGCATGATTCCAAGGCTGAGAAGTTAACCTTTGAAGTGGTCAAGATCAGAAGCCCGTACCACGCTCTGTTTGGACGGCCGTCTTATGCCAAGTTCATGGCACAACCGTGTTATGTTTATTTACATCTCAAGATGCCGGGTTACAAGGGGACCATCACAGTGTTGGGGAACATAGCAGAAATTCAAAATTTTCTACGCATCACCAAGATCAATCTATGGAGATTCTAGCAACAAGAGAGAGAGAGAGAGAGAGAGAGAGAGAGAGAGGGAGTGCATCTTCATACCCTTGAAGATCACTAAGCGGAAGCGTTACAAGAACGCGGTTGATGGAGTCATACTCGCGGCGATTCAAATCGCGGAAGATCCGATCTAGCACCGAACGGACGGCGCCTCCGCGTTCAACACACGTACAGCCCGGGGACGTCTCCTCCTTCTTGATCCATCAAGGGGAGAGGAGAAGTTGAGGGAGAACTCCGACATCACGATGGCGTGGTGGTGATGGAGCTCGTGGTTCTCCGGCAGGGCTTCGCCAAGCACTACGGAGGAGGAAGAGGTGTTGGAGGAGGGAGAGGGCTGCGCCAGGGGAAGGGTGCGGCTGCCCTCTCTCTCCCTCACTATATATAGGGGGAAGGAAGGAGGGGGGGGCGCCCTAGGGTTCCCTAGGGGAGGGGCGGCGGCCACAGGGGAAACCCTAGATGGGTTTGGGCGCCCCCACCCCCTAGGAAACTTGCCCCCCAAGCCGGGAGGGGCAGTTGCCCTAGGGGTGGCGCCCCCAGCCCCCACCTCTCCTGGTTACGTGAGATGGGGTGGGAGGGGCGCTCAGCCCCTTAGTGGGCTGATGTGCCCCCTCCCCTTGGCCCATAAGGCCCCCCAACGCTTGTCGGGGCCTCCGAAACCCCTTTCGGACATGCTGGTCATCACCTGGTACCCCCGGAACAATTCCGGACTGCAATACCCTTCGTCCAATATACCGATCTTCACCTCCGGACCATTCCGGAGCTCCTCGTCATGTCCGGGATCTCATCCGGGACTCCGAACAACCTTCGGTAACCACATACTATTTCCCATAACAACTCTAGCGTCACCGAACCTTAAGTGTGTAGACCCTACGGGTTCGGGAACCATGCAGACATGACCGAGACGTTCTCCGGTCAATAACCAACAGCGGGATCTGGATACCCATGTTGGCTCCCACATGTTCCACGATGATCTCATCGGATGAACCACGATGTCAAGGATTCAAGCAATCCTGTATGCAATTCCCTTTGTCAATCGGTATGTTACTTGCCCGAGATTCGATCGTCGGTATCCCAATACCTCGTTCAATCTCGTTACCGGCAAGTCACTTTACTCGTTCCGTAATGCATGATCCCGTGACTAACTACTTAGTCACATTGAGCTCATTATGATGATGCATTATCAAGTGGGCCCAGAGATACCTCTCCGTCATACGGAGTGACAAATCCCAGTCTCGATTCGTGCCAACCCAACAGACACCTTCGGAGATACCTGTAATGCACCTTTATAGCCACCCAGTTACGTTGTGACGTTTGGTACACCCAAAGCACGCCTACGGTATCCGGGAGTTACACAAACTCATGGTCTAAGAAACTGATACTTGACATTAGAAAAACTTTAGCAAACGAACTACACGATCTTGTGCTATGCTTAGGATTGGGTCTTGTCCATCACATCATTCTCCTAATGATGTGATCCCGTTATCAATGACATCCAATGTCCATGGTCAGGAAACCATAACCATCTATTGATCAACGAGCTAGTCAACTAGAGGCTCACTAGGGACATGTTGTGGTCTATGTATTCACACATGTATTACGGTTTCCAGTTAATACAATTATAGCATGAACAATAGACAATTATCGTGAACAAGGAAATATAATAATAACCATTTTATTATTGCCTCTAGGGCATATTTCCAACAGTCTCCCACTTGCACTAGAGTCAATAATCTAGTTCACATCACTATGTGATTGTAATGAATTCAACACCCATGGGGTTTGATCATACCTCGCTTGTGAGAGAGGTTATTAGTCAACGGGTCTGAACTCTTCAGATCCGTGTGTGCTTTACAAATCTCTATGTCATCTTGTAGATGCAGCTACCACGCTCTATTTGGAGCTATTCCTAATAACTGTTCTACTATACGAATCCGCTTTACTACTCAGAATAATCCGGATTAGTGTCAAAGTTTGCATCGGCGTAACCCTTTACGACGAACTCTTTTACCACCTCCATAATCGAGAAAATTCCTTAGTCCACTAGTTACTAAGGATAACTTTGACCGATGTCCTGTGATCCATTCCTGGATCACTCTTGTACCCCTTGACTGACTCATGGCAAGGCACACTTCAGGTGCGCTACACATCATAGCATACTGTAGAGCCTACGTCTAAAGCATAGGGGATGACCTTCGTCCTTTCTCTCTTTTCTGCCGTGGTCAGGTCTTGAGTCTTACTCAATACTCATACCTTATAACACAACCAAGAACTCCTTCTTTGCCGATCTATTTTGAACTCCTTCAAAATCTTGTCACGGTATGTATTTATTTGAAAGTACTATTAAGCGTTTTTGATCTATCCTTATAGATCTTGATGCTCAATGTTTAAGTAGCTTAATCTAGGTTTTCCATTGAAAAAAACTTTTCAAATAACCCTATATGCTGTCCAGAAATTCTACATCATTTCTGATCAACAATATGTTAATAACATATACTCATCAGAAATTCTATAGTGCTCCCACTCACTTCTTTGGAAATACAAGTTTCTCATAAACTTTGTA